TATCTAAGCAGAAATAAATGTGTTCTGAAGATCAGAAACCAAAGTGTTCAACTAACCCTTTAATATAATTAAAACTACAATGCTTCAGCAGCTGGAATCAATCTTGCACCCTGAATAAACAGATATATTGCCAAAAGTACTGGGACACCTGCCTTTACACACATGAACTTTAATGGCATCCCAGTCTTGGTCCGTAGGGTTCAGTATTGAGACCCTTTGCAGCTATAACAGATTCAACTCTTCTGGGAAGGCTGTCCACAAGGTTTAGGAGCGTGTCTATGGGAATGTTTGATCATTCTTCCAGAAGTGCATTTGTGAGGTCAGGCACTGATGTCAGACGAGAAGACCTGGCTCGCCGTCTCTGCTCCAATTCATCCCAAAATGCATCCTATCGGGTTGAGGTCAGGACTCTGTGCAGGCCAGCAAAGTTCCTCCACCCCAAACTTGCTCATCCACATCTTTATGGACCTTGCTTTGTGCACTGGTGAGCAGTCATGTTGGAACAGGAAGGGGCCATCCCCAAAAACTGTTCCCACAAAGTTGGGAACATGAAATTGTCCAAAATGTCTTGGTATGCTGATGCCTTAATAGTTCCCTTCACTGGAAATTAGGGGCCAAGCCCAATCCCTAAAAAGCAACTGCACACCATAATCCCCCCTCCACCAAACTTTACACAATACAGTCAGGCAAGTACTGTTCTCCTGGCAACATCCAAACCCAGACCCATCCATTGGATTGCCAGACAGAGAAACACGATTGGTCACTCCAGAGAACATGTCTCCACTGCTCTAGAGTCCAGTGGCGGAATGCTTTACACCACTGCATCTGATGCTTTGCATTGCACTTAGTGATGTAAGGCTTGGATGCAGCTGCTCAGCCATGGAAACCCATGGAGCTCTATGTACGGTTGTTGTGCTAATCTGAAGACAAAATGAAGTTTGGAGGTCTTTAGCTATTGACTCTGCAGACAGATGGTGACTTTTGCACAGGGTGCACTTCCGGATACGCTGACCCCGCTCTGTCATTTTATCTGGCCTACCACTTTGGGGCAGAGTTGGTGTTGTTGCCACTTTGTTATGGCATACTTCGTAGCAAGGAAATGTCACGGATGGACTTATTACACAGGTGGCAACCTATCACGATACCACACTTGAAATTCACTGAGCTCCCGAGAGCGACCCATTCTTTCACAAAATGTTTGTAGAATCAGTCTGCATGCCTAGGTGCTTGATTTTATACAATTGTGGCCACGGAGGTGATTAGGAAGTCATTATCACTGGCAGATTATAGTAAAATTGGGTAATAAAGACATACCCATTAAGTGCTCAAATCAGAAAATATATAAAAAAACAAAACTTGGTGCTATTTTAAATTGTGAGCTCCAGAAAATTCCCAGTCATGTTCCTGTGCACTAAAGGGTTTAGGCATTTAATCATCTTGCACACTGCAGCTTCTCAAGTGCAGAGATCCTCCCCATTGGGACTCTGAGATGTAAAATTGGCAGCCAATCGAATGCTCCAGCATCTACCAGAAATGTAGAGACCAACTTTGGGCACAGAGAAAGGAAAAACCCTTGGCACTGCCCCCCCCCCCCCCCCCCCCCCCCCCCCCCCCCCCCCCCCCCCCCCCCCCCCCCCCCCCCCCCCCCATCACCACAATGCAAAGATTAAAATGTTTGCTAGGTACAGGAAAAAGGCTATATTACTTACCCGACTCCCTGCTTTGGTGCTCGCTTTCCTTTGAAACTCCAGTCAGTGGGCAGAATCTCACCATCATTAACTCTATCAACTCTGTATTGCATGTGGTAGAGGTGAGGTAGGAGTGGGAATGTGCTGGGAGCAGCTTACAGTTGGGGCTGCAGTAGTCCAATCGCAAAGATCAAAAGAAACAGGTATGTAGATACAGGCTCTTCTGCAAGCCCCTAGACTTAACAGGCATTTAACCCTTGTCCTGTGGAGGGACCCCACTGCAAAGAGGAATTGTTCTGTTGTACCCAGAGTTGAACATTAAACAAGTTCACTTTTCAGAACATGTTACACCTGTTTTTTAGGGTAACATGTTCCTCTTGCTGCAGTCACTGCCCACTGTCCTCTCTCCCCTGTGACAACAGTACGGGAAGAAGTTGTGTGGGGCTCCGGCCAGATGACCATGTTATTCATTCAGTTCTGTGAATGAATGGACAACAAGTACCGACATCTTTTGTGGATTTCGGCTTGTAGTTTTTTCAATGAACTACCACAGAGCTGTCAAGCACTGTGGTAGTGCATTGAGTTTTCCTGTCAATGTAGGAGTCTGCCCATACGAGGTCTGATGAAGTCCTGCATGGCACCAGTGATCTGCTAAGCACTGGTGCAATGCTTTCCAGGCTCCAAAAAAAAAAAAAAATAAATAAAATAATCGTCATAACAATAAATTTACTTTTTCACCTGCAAAAAAATAAGCATTTATGATTTTTATATTATATATATATATATATATATATATATATATATATATATATATATAAATAATACACTTCAGCATTTGGTTTGTTCAATTTGTCTCACATAACAGCAACTAGTGTCCCTGACTCATGCAGAAGCCTTTCAGCCAAAGCAGATCTTTAGATATACATTACGTTGAAAACAAACATGAGCAAGACTCATGGATTACTACTGTAGATATTGGGTCAGGCCTGTATTGCCTTTTTGTTATATAAATGAAATCTTGAACAAGGATAAAGCAGGCTCACAGGGCTTCCGAGCATCAACCAAGTTTAACAGCAAGACTTCATCATGATTCTCAAGAGCAAAGAGTACCACCAGCAAATCATGAGTTCAGTTAGGAGCCATATATTAGTCACATAAATAAAAGTAACAGCAACATTTCAGGGCAAGTAACAGTCACTTCATCAGGCAAACAGCGCCGACATTATGGTGTATAATAAATCACCTTTAACTGTGCTTGTGATGTGCCGGTAATGCTCTTTGCTTTTGGAGAGACTGGACAGCAGTGCCATGCTTTTGGAGAGACTGGACAGCAGTGCCATCCATCTGGTTAAATACAGCACTACATTCAACTGAGCTTGAAGTGCACAACACATGATTTAATTCCAAAAATGGCATCCTTCATGCTTGTGTTAGGTCAGTGACTTCGTAGACAGTGGAAAAAAAAAAAAAAAAAAAAAAAAAAAAAAAAAAAAAAAAAAAAAAAGAGGATAAAAAGACAGTGAAGAAAGGATAAGATGCTCAGAGCCTGCAGTATATGGCTCTAAAGTGTGTCAAGCCAAAACGCCCCCGTCCCCCCACTTTATTTTTGGATGGAGCGTGGAATGGAGAGAACCTCTCTGGTTTGTACTGCTGTGTAGGGAGATTTCCCATTATTTCCTGTCCTTTAGAAAACATTTTTACCAGACAGGATGCGAGGGGAACTCTTGAACAGCAACAAAATAAAAATGCTTTTCTTTTTAGTAGGGAAGACATTTACTTGTCAAGTTTCACCAATTTCCTTGCTGGTAAAACTTGTCAGCAGAACAGAAAGGGAGAGGAAATCTCTCAAATTTGGTGTTATAATCCTTCAACTTGACCCTAAACTAAAAAAAGTATTTTGCTTAATACACACTTAAGAGTTTTGCATAAAACAGATTATGACCATATGTAACTTAGGTAGACAGTCCTTTAGAATTTCTTTACTGTAAAATGATGAAAAGGCGAACACAAGTGGTGTACAAAACTGGGCTTTAGGGTGAATGCAGGTATATCCACCTGTCACAACGCTCCTTCAGCGTTACCTATAATGCTACCACCTCCCCCTCACTCCCCTTCTCTGTCGGGGTCCCTCAAGGCTCTGTCTTGGGCCCCTTCTCTTCTCCATCTACACCTCCTCCCTTGGCCAACTCATACACTCTCACGGCTTCAACTACCACCTCTATGCCGACAACACACAAATCTCTCAACCCCCCACCTCACCCCCTCAGTCTCCGCCCAAATCACACACCTACTAAGCGACATATCAGACTGGATGTCGCTCCACTTCCTTAAACTGAACCTCTCCAAAACTGAGTTTCTTGTCTTCCCCCCAGCCCGGACACCACCCCCCATTGACTTCTCCATCACATCCAACAACGCCACCATCAAAACCGCCCGGCAGGCCAGAGTACTTGGTGTCATTCTGGACTCCAACCTATCCTTCCAGCCCCAAGTTCTTTAACAAACTCGTGCAGACTCCACCTCCGCAACATCGCCAAAATACGCACGTTCCTAACCCCAGAAAACACTAAACAGCTCATCCACTCCCTCATCATATCATGACTCGACTACTGCAACTCCCTCCTCACTGGCCTGCCTCGCCGCTGGCTATCCCCGCTTCAGTCGATCCTGAATACGGCTGCCAGACTCATTCACCTTTCCAACCGCTCCGTTTCCGCCACCCCCCTCTGCCAATCCCTCCACTGGCTTCCGATTGCACAATGGATCAAATTCAAAATCCTAACGCTGATGTACAAAACTGTCCACCATACTGCCCCGAACTACATCTCTGACCTAATATCCAAGTACCGCCCAGCACACACACTCCGCTCCTCACAAGAGACCTCCTCTCTAGTTCCCTGGTCTCCTCCTCCCATGCCCGCCTCCAGGACCTCTCCAGGGTGTCACCCATCCTCTGGAACTCCCTGCCCCAACCCATCAGATTATCACCTACTCTCCTCTCCTTTAGGTGCACCCTGAAAACCCATCTCTTCAGGGAAGCCTACCCCACCCCCTGCTAACTTGCCGACCTCCTCCACTCTTCCTACCACTCCATCCCCCACAGCTATCTCCTCCTGTACCACTATCCCCTCCCTCCTAGGATTGTAAGCTCCAAAGAGCAGGGCCCTCAATCCCCTCATGTTTTGCATTGTATTGGTATTGTTCTGTCACATGTTCTGTCCCCCTTTGTAATGTACAGCGCTGAGCGAACTGTTGGCGCTTTATAAATACTGTATAATAATAATAATAATAAATAAATAATACCTGTCTTCCATAGTCCTGTCCACCATCTCTTCCATTCAGCCTGTCCTTAGCAAGTGATCGAATAGCACTCAATGCAGCATCCACAATGGCTTCAGCAGTCCTGGCTCCTACATGTACGAGAGAATAAATATATCAATGAGTGAAACTTCCAAATTTAGGTGCACATACACAGGTAATACAGAATACCTATCTTACAATAAAAAACTTTATCAACACTAACAGAAGCCTTTGCCAGTTTTCCATTAGAACGGATACTTCTGGGCTACTGTTTATTAAAAATTAGAAGTATGAAGCCAGATATATGCAACAGGAAGTCCAAAAAAAAAAAAAAAAAAAAAAAAAAAAAAAAAGCTGTATACAATGTTGTATTATATGGCAACGGAGGACTTTTGCCCTGTATGCAAATCAAAGTGTCTCTCACCAAGGAAGAAAGCCGACTCCCCTGGGATGTTCTGTTTATTCCCTATGCAACAGTCAGTTAACACTAGAGAATTATTCACACCAACAATTGAAAATATATACGGTAATGCCCATATGTTGCTGTGCGTTGCATCTTCCAAGGCAATGCATTGGTGTGATTAAAGTCTTTACCACACTAAAGCTGGTTTATATAGAAGGTGAACTAGCATGTGTCTTTTTCCAAGCAAACAAGAACCTGATAATACAGATGAGGGAATCAACTTGCAATAGTCCTTTCATGATCAAAAGGTAACTCATACCAGGACACTAAGGTTAGGACAGAACTAAGCCTGCGACATAAAAGTTTCCTAGCATCTAGCGTTTGGTAGAAGAGAATTAAAGTGGTAGTAAACATATGCACATTTAAAGTTATAAATAAAAAAAATAAAAAAAAAAAAAAAAAATTTCTTCATGCAAGTAAGAGCATAATTAACTAGTATACAATGCATACTAGCACATTATGAAATACCTACCTTAAAAAGGAAGCCGTCCACCACAGTAGAAGCTTCAGTATTCATCCGGTCTTCCTTCTGGGTTCAATGGCTGCGGCCACTTGAAGGGCCAAGCCGCAATGGCAGCTATGGCAGAGAGCTCTGATGGAACAGCACAGGCATGCCATTCCTTAAGAGCACACGTGCTGGCGACGTCACCAGCTGGAGCAACACTGAATATCTCCCAAAAAGGTGCACGTTTAGGAGATATTTTTTATTTTTACACGTTTATAAGATAGTCATTTTACCTACAGGCAAGCTTTATTATAAGCTTAACTGTAGGTACAAGTATCCCAGAAGTGTTTACTACAGCTTTAAAAAGCCTAACACGTGCCTGCTATCCATCTTTTGTTAATTGTATACGGTCTATGGCACATGCATAGTGCAATGCACATTCCTAGCCAATTTCTGGCATTTCAGAACCAAATGTTGGTGCCAGGGTAACATAATGCTAGTGCACAGGTGGACTACAGATGGTTGTAGAAGCCATCATCACTTGGGGAAACGTTATGTAATCTGAGGATGTCCAAATTAAATGTGAAATCTGGCACTTCACTGAGCATGCAGCTGTAGTGGATTGTGATAGACAGTGCACGTCTTATTAGATGATCAGTAAAATTTTATAGTCTTGCTACTTTCTGCTTCTTGCTCTTTAAAATTCCTTACTCTCTTAGGTAAACAATCAGATATAAGTTGACAGAACAATGATAATTAAGATGGCGCCTTCATCAAGAGTCTCACCCTAGGTGACTCATTAGAAGAGAAAGTATCTTTTAACGTAAACAACCCCCATAAAAAGGGAATGAGTCGTTTTGGGGACAATGATTGGAAGATATCAACACGGATGGAAGAACACACAGAAACCTAGTGGACTTTTCACCCAATCAATGTATATGCTTTGCCTGCATCATGAGACCTATAAATGTTACTGTTAGTTCCACAATAAAACAGAATTTTAGGAAGTTGGAAAAGTGCCAGTGTCTTACTTCCACGTGCACGTATTCTCACATTAATTACCCTCACTGGTAGATCACAACAGCTGTGGTCGGTAAGTAACCACAACCAAAACACAGCTTCTTTATCTTTTAATCCTTTCACATGTTCCAATTTGAGCTGATGCCATTACTACAGAACTCTGGTTTCCTGCTTCCAGGTGGCTTCTTTCTTCTGTAGCATCCTATGGTGGCACTCTTGCATGTAGAGACTAGAGCTGTGCATCTATATTAACCCACAGTCCTGTAGCCTAGGGTGGCAAGGCACCTCACTCCTCCTCATCACATCTAAAAATCTAACAACCAAGTTGGAGACTGCACTGTCCACTGCAAATTGTTTCCTGTTAAGACTGCAAGCTCAGGGAAGCCACAGAACAGGAACCAGCAGAATTGAAAGCTGAAAACTGCAAGTGTTAGGGTTAAGAACTTTTACAAATGTCTTACTTGGGAATGTTTATATTATTGTGCTGAATGTGCTAAACCAAAAAATGCCTAAGAAGTAATACTACTGTAAAGATCAGGGCTGCATGGAGGCACGCTTATAGCTTAGAAGAAAAATTCCCTCAAGAAGCCTAAGTGCCATATCTCACAGATCAGCATAAAGTAGGATGCTGCCAGAGTTGCACCTCATATCTGCTCTGATATGCTAAGTTTTGAAGCGAACTTGGGCTGGTTCTCCTGTCTCCACACTTTATTAACCAGGCCAAAATGGTCTGTATTTTACCATTTTTTGGAAACGCCTTCATTTTAGCTATAGATAAGAGAACACAAAAAAAAAAAAAACAAAAAAAAAAAAACATTCCATTACAAAGTTTTTTTTTTTTTTTTTTTTTTAAAAGTAAAATAGAGCGGTCTGTAAAATCTCTGAAACTAAAAAGGTCTGGGGTAAAAAAAAAAAAAAAAAAAAAAAAAAAAAAAAAAAAAAGTTAAGAATGTTGGGTACCCAGTAAGGGTAAAATTTGAGCCCACTTGAAGGAAATAGTGACTGTATGTTTTCCCTCAATTATTTTGATAAAGATCTGATCTACTTTGTATTAGTGATCCTTTTTATTCATTAGGCAAGAAAAAAAAAAAAAAAAAACAAAAAAAACACCACAGCAATTTATATTAAAACACATGGATACTCACCCTGATAATTTTCAGGCTTGTTCTTATTTGCTCCAAATATCTTGATAGTGGGGAAACCTCGTATTTCATACTGACCACCCAGAGACTGGTGTTGATCAGTATCCACAGCTCCTATATTCACAATACCCTGCAAACATAAATTGTATGAGAGCAACGTACAATCACTTGCTGACTATCCAACATATGCATTGCTGACTGTCTCTCACAGATTCCCCAATACATTGCGCAATGTTCCTCATACAGATCCCAGAGCATTGCTGACTGTCCATTAGACTCTCCCAACAAAATTAGTATTCTTGCAATTCTCTAAAACGACAATTGAATAAAGAAAAAAATACTGGAAATGGTACAAGAAACACTGAGGGTTTGTATTAACAGGATTTTGTTAACTTCAAATGGGTTTTGCATTCCCATACTAGTCTATGGAATGGAAAACTCCACTTAAAGCCAGTCAGCTGCAGGTTAGGAGTCCAACTTCAGGTCAAACAAAGGGTCAATGAATATTTAAGGATCTCAGAAGTCTCTAACCATTTATACAAGACCATAGTCTATCGACAACAGCTTGCCTTCAATGGGGACCTGCCAATAGGAGTATGGGTTAACATGAATACAAAAATTTAAATGTTGCCTTGCCCATGTAGAGCAAAGATTGCCTGTATACAATGCACCCCCTGAACTCGATACTCACCTTCCCAATGTTCCTCTGCTGCTCCTACCTAAATTGTGTCACCCAGCTCTCCTCTCCCAACACTTGGAAATACAAGGTATTTCCGGCAGGAGCAACAAAGAAGCACTGACAAGGAGAATATCAGTATAATTGGAGGTGGATTTGGTGAGGGGGAGCACATTACAAAGCCAGCTTTTGGTGGCCCACATTTTTTTTTTTTGCAATTCAGCTGATTGGCTCCAGATGTGAACTGTACAAAGAATCAGAATCAAGCCACTGCTCAAATAACAGGGAACAATGAAAAAAAAAATATATTCATCTAGAGGAGAAAAGTGTATAAACGGGAATGGCTGGCCAAAACGACAACTCTTAGCAGGTAAAATGAAAAAAAACAAACAAACATACACTGGAAAACTGTGTAACATAAAAACTACTGGAAAGCCCTGCACATTGTTCAGGGAATATCTACACAGATGCACTGAAGCAAACGAACATCAATAAATAAATAGAAAGCAAAGTACAAGCGACTCTCACAGGTCTTGAGTAGCAATGTGTCCAGACAAGAAGGGTTTATTCTGTTCAACCTTGAGCGGTGTATTTAGTGGTTAGGAGTTTCGCTAACACCACCATTGTTTATATCTTGGTAGTTACCTTCAATGCAGTTGCAGCTTTTTTCCATTGTGGGGCCAGACTCTGGCAGTGTCCACACCTATATGAAACAACAACAATTTCACATTAAATCCTGCAACGTCAAAACAGTCTGCAAGTATACAGGTATATGTGGCAGATAGGACTATACAGATGAAGACTACTAGTCTAAAAATACTTAAATTTAGCTTCTACAGAAAAGGTATACCTATAACGTATTAACAAATTTGTAGCTCGTAGGGATGTGAATATGTAAATAATCAGGATAGGCATGTCAAACTGTTTTCTGGGCCTCATATTTCTCCTCAATACTTTTTTTGGGATGAGGAGGGAATGGTTAAAATTCTGGTGAACTTTTTTTTTCCTTTTTAAAAACTATTTTGCGCGGTTTGTGTCCAGTCTGTCACAGCTCCCACAGAACAAATTTCCCAATTGGAAGCTGTAGCAATTGTACGTACAGAGATGGATGCGAACCTACATTTTGCCAAAGGCCCTCCATCTTGTATCCCTTCTACTCCAAATCAGCTTCCCCCCCCTCCCTCTCTGTTGAGAGACACGTGGTCCCTGCGTCTGGGTTCAGAAGTGCACAGGCAATCAGGCACAGCGGGACAGCTGCATGGTTATAAATCCCAAATTAGCTGGTGCCCGGGTGTCTGTTAGCTTCTCAATCTGAGATAATCGTAAAGCCATAAACCAGTCCTTCACTGGGCTTCAAACGCATTCCTGCTGGCCATAAAACAGACATGAAATTATAGGGAAAAGTGGGTTTTAAATGTGATATCTTAAGGTAGGAAATAATTACATAAAAATAAAGCACATATTCGGATAGCTCAGCTTAATGCGAGTCTGATATCTTACACCCCTGGCTTACGTATACCCGAGAGCAGAAAGTGATATCTCCTTAACCGTCCCAAGCAGATATGTCATAACTGGTATCTGGACGTTCAGAATATCATTCTGAAGATTATCCTACCCGTGGCTAGAATGTTACATGTATCTAGGGAAGGTTATTGACCCTGGTATAACTTGCGAGGGATTTTGGTTCTAGCCTGAGTCTCCCGCCTCATACACCCCTCCCCAAATGAGGAGATTGGCTCTCTGCTGCTGTAAGGAGACACCCTGCTGAGTTCCTAGAAAGGGGCTGTCAGGTTTGGAGAAGGAAGTTGAAGAATTCTCTCTTTTTAACATCAGAAACCAACTTGGGCGAACGATACCCTTTTGCTCCGACACTTGAACGCTGCTTAAACCAAGGCTGACGGCAAGTATTCTACCTCTCTAAACGTCTGTTATCCCTTTGCTGTGTTATTGCGCTCTGTATTTATATATATATATATATATATATATATATATATATATATATATATATATATATATATATATATGCTACATCTTTTTCTGTAAATACGCTTATTGCACTATTTTGACCTTTTTAGTAATAAATCCTATTTTCTGAAAAGTGTTGAACTGTTTCTAAAGCTCTTTAATGCAAACTAAGAATGCCTGTCTCTGAAGAGTGCTACTGTGTTTTTTAAACCTCTATATATCCCTGCCTGCGATGGCAGTGGTATACAGACAATTATTCAAACATCATAATGTTATTGCTAATATTGGCAAGGTTCCTCCTCTTCTCTACAAAAAGGAGGTGGTGGCAGTGTGAAGGGTTAATTGCATAATTAACCTGACCCAGTAACAATTGCGCTCAGGCTGCAGGTACATAGATTGTGGTCCATTAGCTGGAAAATATTTGTGCAGGGTGCAGCTGAGCGTGGCATTGTTACGCATGTGACAGCGCGGTTTTAGATTGGCTAGTCCTTTGGTCACGAGTTGGTGAGAAGGGCTGAGGGGCAGACGCCACGATCGTCACAGAAGCAACTAAAGTTTAGATTATAAAAAAAACTTTTACAATGGTCACCAAGGCAAATACATGAAAGTGAACAACTCCAGACAGTACATAAACTTGACAGGGATTCTAGCCCCAAGTCTGTTGCTTTCGGTGTCTCCCTGAAGCAGAAATACCCTCTGAGCCTGGGTTCATACATATGCGGTGCATTGCATGTGATTCGCACAAGAACCGCACCCAATTCCTGTGCAAATCACATGCAAATTGTGTGCATGGCAATTGGAGCCATACATTTTGTGTGGCTCAAATCGCACCGCATCAAAAAAGGTGCAGGACCCTTTTTTGGTCCGCATTAGAATCGGATCGCATGGGTATTCACAAAGTGTGCGTGTGTGTGAGGCACTACCCCCCCCCCCCCCCACCTGTCACATTGACCCACTCCTGTGACACTTCCTCCTCTTGTCCCAGAGGTGTTCTATTGGATTTAGGTCAGGCAAGCGTGGGGGCCATTCAGTGGTATCAATTCCTTCATCCTCCAGGAACTGCCAGCATACTCTCGCCACATGAGGCTGGGCATTGTCGTGCACCAGGAGGAACCCAGGACCCACTTCACCAGCGTAGGGTCTAACAATGGGTCCAACGATTTCATTCCGATACCGAATGGCAGTCAGGGTGCCATTGTCTAGTCTGTAGAGGTCTGTGTCCCCCTCCATGGATATGCCTACCCTGACCATCACTGACCCACAAGTAAAACGGTCATGCTGAATGATGTTACAGGCAGCATAATGTTCTCCACGGCTTCTCCAGACCCTTTCATGTCTGTCACATGTGCTCAGGGTGAACCTGCTCTCATCTGTGAAAAGCACAGAGCGCCAGTGGCGGACCTTCCAATTCTGGTGTTAAACGGCAAATGCCAATCAAGCTTTATGGTGCCAGGCAGTAAGCACAGGGCCCACTAGAGGACATCGGGCTGTCAGGCCACCCTCATAAAGTCTGTTTCTGATTTTTTGGTCAGAGACATTCACACAAGTGGCCTGCTGGAGGTCATTGGGCTATGGCAGTGCTCATCTTGTTCCTCCTTGCACAAAGGAGCAGATACCGGTCCTGCTGATGGGTTAAGGACATTCTACAGCCCTGTCGAGCTCTCCTAGTGTAACTGACTGTCTCCTGGAATCTCCTCCATGCTACTGAGACTGTGCTGGGAGACACAGCAAACCTTCTGGCAATGGCATGTATTGATGTGCCATCCTGGAGGAGTTGGACTGCCTGTGCAACCTCTGTAGGGTTCAGGTGTCGCCTCATGAAACCAGTAGAGACACTGACCTTAGCCAAACACAAAACTAGTGAAAACCAGTCAGAAAAGATGAGTAGGGGAAAAAAAGTCAGTGGCCTCAATCTGTAAAACCATTCCTGTTTTGGGGGTCATCTCATTGTTGCCCATCTAGTGCACCTGTTAATTTCATTAACATCAAAGCAGCTGAAACTGATTAACAACCCCCTCTGCTACTTAAATGACCAGATCAATATCCCAGGAGTTAAATGGACTCGATGCTATACTCTGATTAAAAAGTGTTCCTTTTGTGACACATAACAAAACATAGCAGCTCCATACCAACACACACACCTCAAAATAACATACAAAGTACATCTCACAAAATCTTTCTTGGTACTCACCAAGGAGCATAAAATTCTATCAGCCACACAGCGTCACTCTGGATAACCTCTCGGTTGAAATTACTGGGGGTTAATTGTACGACATCATCACTGGCAGAAAACATACCCCTCACTGCAAGATGCAGTGAGCAAAGAACTGCCCCTGCAAATAGAACATACCATCAAGGAATGAGTATGTAAAATATATACATGCAATCGCATAGAAAAACTAAATATATACGTCATTAACATTGTGCATACGGGCATAATGCACAAACTAGGCCCAATACAAGTATTCAATGTCACCAACTGTATCTAAAACAAGTCCTTGGGGTATGCCCGTTACATCATTTAGAAGGCCTGTCTAGTAAAACCAATATTTCGGCTGATCACCATAAGTTAAGAAAGCCACATAAGTTTTGGGATCCTCTTTTTCCCTAGCAGGCTGCATGAAGGCTGAGCCACATTACCAAGGCCTGGACAGAAGGGCAAAAAATTGGGTTTTGCTGTAAGCATTTTTACTTTTTACTGCTAGTTGCTAGTATGTTACATAGGGTGCAGAGGTCAATACATAGAGGTTAGGTATATTTCAGTACCAAGTCTGAATTTTTATGACAAAGAATGGGTATTTCCCAGTTTTCCCCATCTGTTCACATGATATTTTCAGGTTTATTTTCTAATACAGTAATAATTATTTTAAACCATGTACACCTGCATCTCCTGTCCTGGTAAGCTACATTTCAATATAAAAAGACTGGTAAATCTTATCTTGATGGACAACGTCAGCATCATCTTTGATGTTTCACCCAAAGAACCCGAGACAAGGCTTTGCCAAGGGGAATAGATCAGCAAATTATACATGTAATTAAATAAAGGATCTGTGCTATTACCATGCAACCAATACACAGAGTGTCAAAAGTGGTTGTAAACCTCTGACATGAAATATGAACAAAGCATATCCCTCTATAGTGTATACTTGTCTTAAACCAGAGCACCAAGTGTCATTTCAGTCTGCTGCTCTTTTGCCCCTGACAAAAAAAAAAAAAAAAAAAAAAAAAAAAAAAAAAAAAGGAAGTAGTGACAAGAGGGACCTCCAGCAGATTTTCTGCCTCAGCCCTGTTCCTGTGAGCTGTGTGGAGGGGGTGTGTCCCTCCAATCAGCTCGCAGAACTCTCCTCATTGAGCTCTGCAGAGAAACTTCAGCTCTCCGCCCCCTTTTTTCTGAACTCTCAGACAAGTGTATAAATTCTGCAATTTGAACAGATGTGGAGGAGAGGCTGCAGACAAAACAGGTACAACTTATATAGCAGTGGTCTCCAAACTGCGGCTCGGGGGCCATATGTGGCCCTTGGCTTGCCTTTGTTTGGCCCTTGGTGCACTACTTCACTGACTGACACCATCGATGGGGCACTATTCCTCCATTCAAACCAATAATGGGGCATTTTGTATGCCCACTGATAACAGTCCGGCCTCCCTAAAGTCTGAAGGACAGTAAACTGGCCCTTTGCTTACAAAGTTTGGAGACCTCTGTTATATAGGATTTGTTTCATCTCTGTATATCACCCACGGCCAGTCATTTCACTGGGGATATGTAAGGGTTTACAACTACTTCAAAGCCCAACCCTATGCAAAAAACAAAAATGTATCCCTCACCATGGGATTGCCCCCAAACACGGGTTTAAGTCTAGAACATGAAAAGAATATTTACTTACCCGGTGTCCGCAGCATCTCCTCCTCCATGTTCCAGTGGTTTAAAGTCCTGATGTCATCAAAACCAAAGAAGGGTCAATAGCCCTGCATTGGACATGAGGACACCAAGGGAAAGTCCACCACCAGAGCACCATCATCCAGGGAAGCTGAGGATTAGGGAAGTAAAAGTATTTCTCCTCTCCCCTAGATAAAACGTGCTATTAACCCTGTGTGGGCACAGGCCACAGCAAGTTATTTTTTAGTTACTCAGAGTCGGGCTTCAATTCACCTTTGTGGCCATGTTTCATGCTACACATATGTAGCATGGATGGAGCACATGTGTGGTGCCATCACTGCGATCAAAGTCCATTGCTTAATTCCTCCAGCCAATGAAAGGGCCGTACCTTTGTACTAGCCTGAGGCTGGAGGAATAGTCTGCTGGAACTTGTGCATTGCTCCTGTGATCCACTGATAAAATGCTCTGCAGGCTTTTTAAAGTAGAACTAAAAGGCAAATCCTTTTTTTTTCTTCTTTAGTTAGTTTTGGATAGGGGGGTGGAGAGAGATCCAGTTAGGTTTTTATTGCTGTCGGTGTCCCCATTAGGGAGATTCACCATCTCTATTTGTCCTGCTTACCACCATAAAAAGTGAAAGTAAAGAAAAACCAAAATCTTGGGTTCTCCTCAGAAAAGTAATAGAAGACACTTTTTGGGGGTCCCCAAGGAAAATCCCTTAATTTGAAGGGATTATCACTCACTTCCTGTTTTGGCTATGGGACAGGAAGTGAAGGGAAACAACACCAATAGGACACAGATGGCAAAAAATAAACTGACAGGGGTAATAACCCTCCCTTACTCTATTCAAAATGAAAAATTTTTTTGCCTGTAGTTCTACTTTTATGCAAAAATGTTATAAATGCATTTGTTTTTATTTTATTGATGTGGCTGCTTTGCATAAAATGTTTGCAAGGGTAGACTATGTCTTCAAAAAGTAGCTCGACTTTTGTTGAGGTTAAAAAAAACAAACAAAAAACCATCCCCTCTGGGTGATCACTGTACACTGCAGGGATTTTAACAAACTTTGTTGCAGATTCCTACCCATTTTTGCTCAGAAGAAAAGGAAATTTGCTCTCTTTTCTGTCTGCATCCCTTTAGAAGTATCTCACCAAAACTGAAATATTTGTTGCAGTGGATGCCTAAAATACGACTTCTATTTTAGTGCAAATTTCTGGGAAATTCAAGGAGCCAATCACACAGCAGGAAATTAAATTTACCAGGGAGGTTCTGTACACCCAGTTGTGTATGCAACGCCTCCAGATTGTCATATTGGATATTTAGTATAACTAAAGGCAAGACTTTTTTCTTCGTTTTGAACACAGTAGAGAGGGACTAGACCTTCTGTCAGTTTCTATTTCTGTCTGTGTCCATGTTAAGGAGATCCACCGTCTCGTTTTGTCCTGTTTACTATTATCATTGAAAGTAAATACAAAATAACATTTTTGAGATTGTCCCAGACAGGTAATAGAGGGGAAATCTTCCAATAGGTACACTCGTTCTAGTAACCCAAGTGTCCCCCTTGATTTACAGGGATTTCCTTTCACTTTCTATTTGGCTATGGGACACAGATGGTAAAAAAAACAAAAAACAAAAAAAAAAACTCAAAATATTAGCCAGCAACTCGATTGCTTCTAAATCCAGATTAACTGTCTTAGTCAATGAAGTTAGCAACGCCCCTACCTTCATTGGAGGGGCTGAGATATTATACATGTTGAGAGTGATTTTAAGTTTTCTATGCTATGAATAAAGGCTCTCACCGAAACGCGTTGGCATTCATGGATCCTGTACTTATACCTTGTAACCAATAAATAACTGGACTTAGAAGCAATCGAGTTGCCGGCTAATATTTTTGAAGATAGCTGGTACCAGTGGTAGTTCTTAGCCTGAGCACCAGCCTCCAGTTGGGGATTATTAACGAATGGTCTCATTTGCTATATCAATTATAATCTCCCCTTACACTATTTAAAATGAAAAAAAAAAAAAAAAAAAAAGTTTAAGAAAACATTTTTTGCCTATAGTTCTACTTTAAAATAAAATTATAGCTCCGCAGATTGTAAAAGAAAAGTAAATTTTTAAGAAGATTAAATTAAAATAAGGCCTGTGCAGCACATACACATATATATATACACAAAACAAAAGTATAGCTACTTTTTAAGGACATATATTTTACATACACACACACACACACACACACACACACACACATACACACACACACACACACACACACACACACAAAGTGGAGTTATCCTTTAAGGACCCATGCCTGGAAAGCTTGTATTCTACCAGAACGATGTATCCATCTCCAAAGTAGAGGGAGTCGGATGGATCTGTCTTCGGTACCCTGGGGACAATGCGTGATGAGAGCAGCCAATGTGCAGCCACATCCCATAGAAAGCGCAGCATCCTCCACCCTGATCCAAGGAAACCGACCAACAGCCCTGAGAATCGGTTCCATTCCACCTTCAGCTTTCATGAATCAGACTTACGGATTGATAGATGGGCAATAATCCCAGCGCATATTTCACCAATCGCCAATCTTTGGAAGGGGAGGGAGGATGCAATGCAAGAGGTCATCAGAATCCCTATATAACATACACATACATTGAGAGAGACTATGTATGTATGTATGTATGTACACACACATAATATATATATATATACACATACATACACACACACACACGTGTTTTATATATATATATATATATATATATATAAAAACACGTGTGTGCATATATATATGAATATATAATAGCATGTGTGTGTACCTCTCTCTACATACATACATTGCAGAACCCTCAGTAGAGAGCTGTCAGTGCCAGTAGCTGCATACCGGCATGTTGTGCCCCACACCAATACACATGCGGAGCCCCATCCCTCCTGCTCTCACCCAGTAGAACTGTTCCTCTGGCCATCCTCCCGCTGCGCTCCCGGTCCGCTGTGTGCACCGTCTGCCTGTGTTCTTCCCAAGCACCTCAGAGCTACACTTTCACCTTCCGCCGTGTCCGCCGCCTATTGGTCTCTCCAGGAGCTTCAACCTTAATATAGCCAATCAGAGGAGGCCGGGTAGCGCAGCCGCCGGTGACTCTCCCCCAGTCTTCCTCCAGGAGAGCGAGCTGGGAGAAGGTGATTGGCCCACGCAGGGTGACGGGCGGAGTTCAGGGGGCGTGGTTGGTTGTCCTGTCCAGATCCGGATTTGGTGACGTTATGGGCGGGATGGGAGAATGCAGAAAAGTTGAGAAGAGTTGCATGGAAGTTTTGTCTTTGTGAACTTTTCTGTTATCTGATCTCCGCACACTGATCATTATCGTCTGGGAGCTCTAATCCGATTTGGGTTGAGCTGATTGTTGGCATGAGCTCTGCAAGGGGGGGGGGGAGGAGGAGGAGAGGAGAGAGGTGGAGGATTTTATCATCATATCACGACCAAGGG